GTTTGTCTTTGCCTGCAGAGTGGGGGAGTACCCCGGGGGGGGGGGTGGTGGTTTGATTTTATTATTATTATATTCATTTTTTTTTCCTTTTTGCCCCCAGCAGTGACCTGGCGCCCGGTTGATGGTGCAAGAGATACCAGCCACCCCTCCTTCACCATCCCCCCCCACCTCACCACCTCTTTCCTCCCATCGCCGCCCACTTCCACGTGATGTGAGCAAACCAGTCAGCGAGTGGGACTGGGGAGTCTGGACATATTGGGGAGCCAAGAAGGGGGATGGGGGGCAAAAAGAGCCCTGCTGCCCCTGACTGCCCTCCCCGCGAAGCTGGAGCAGGCAGGAACCAAGGCATCTCTTAGCCCTCTGCCTTCCTCACAGCGAGGGGGTGTCCTGCCCCACGGCCTCACCCCCACCACCCCTTGCCCCCCCCAGCACCGCAGGTGGGTATCTCTTCTCTGCCCCCTCACTCCTGTCCCCTGCTGTCACGCCAGGACCCCGGCCAGCCCCTTCCTATGGGCCTCCCCTAAAGCTTCCTCCTATTGTCTCCCCTGGCTTGAAAAACAGACTCGATTTTGCCTTTTTTTAGGTTGATTTTTTAAAATTATTATTATCATTGTTACTATTTTTAAGGCAGGAGGGGAACTCACTCCTTTTTCCCCTCCTGTGGGTCCTGGCTCTTCTTTGGAAAGCCTCGTGGAAAGGCTCCATCCATCCTAGGCCACTCACACACACATGAACGAGCCACTTCTCCAACCCCTGAGCTTCAGGAGGACACAGACCTTCCTCAAACCCCTTTCTTCCCAGCTCCCTTCCATCCTTACCCCTTCCCGACGCTGCCTCTGGCTTCTCCCCCTTCCCTCAGCTGCCTGCCGGTGTCTCCCGCTGTCCTCCCGGGTATCAGCCCTTATCTCCTGGTTATCTCTTCTGCTTCTAAATTCAGCCCAGTGGAGGGGTTCAGCCTGGGGAATCTGCTAGTTAAATCTAAATCAGTCCCAAGAGTTATTTCTCTGGCCATCATTCCCCTCATCCAGCCTTTCTCTGAGTGTGAGACGGTTTTCTAGGATCCCTCCATGATCTGCAGGGAAAACAACATCTCAGATGGTTTCATACCCTTCCCAGACACTCCTTAAGGAAGTTATTTCATCCTGACCCCCCCTCCACAAAACATTTTTTGGGTCTCACCGTTGCAAGCCACATGCCAGGTCCTGATGGCCACTTGTGCTGTGCTCAAAACCGATTCATTACACCTCCCATCTCCTCCACCACAAAGGAGCCCATGGGGAAAACCACACTCCATGCCCACCCCACTCCTGGGCTCTGGGACATGTCACCTTACTGGAATCACTGCCTCCTCAGTCCCCAGTGGGTCAAGCTACTCTGCTTCCAGTTTCTATCACCTTCCCAGAGAGGAGAAGGGATGGGGGGGTGGGTGGGCTCTGGGACATGTCACCTTACTGGAATCACTGCCTCCTCAGTCCCCAGTGGGTCAAGCTACTCTGCTTCCAGTTTCTATCACCTTCCCAGAGAGGAAAAGTGATGGGGGGGTGGGTGGGATATAAAAACACAGGGTAAGGGAGAACTTTTCGGGTGCTGCCAGGGGTCTGCTCCCCACATGCTGAAGGGCTGATCCCCAGTGCGAGTGGGTCTGGGCAGCACTGACGGGAGGGTGCAGTGGTTAATGCCCCCCCTTTGAGCACCCCCCCCTTCCCGGCTCGCCCTCCCGTCGCCCACATCAAACACCGGCCTCGGGGGCCATTAACAACTTAAAGCACCGATCGTACCTACGGGACAAAGGTGTGGTTTCTTCCC